GCGGCACGCCTGAATATATCGCACCTGAATTATTGCTTCGAGTCCCATACACTGATAAGGTGAGATGTTTGTTATCTTTTGAAACTGCTGACTGTTAATAAAGATTTGCGAAAAAATTTAGAAAGATTTTGTAAGGAAACCGCTGTTTGAGAGTGAGAGAGAGCATGTAAGTGGGGTATCACTAGGGTGACGTAAGGCTCCACATGTAAGCAGAAATTATAGCAGAAATCTAGCAGGCCATGAGTAAGTCAAGGAAAAGTAATCATTATTACTACTCTACTATTTCATAGTTGAAAATTAGAGTTGTAAGTCAATGATAAAGCGTGGCTGAATTGAATGTAGTAAAATCGATTTGTTTTTTTTTTTGATTTTTTGAATTATTTTCTCTGCTAGTAGAATGTGGATGGTAGATGAAAACGTCAAGAGGGTAGTCTTGAGCCTTGGCTGTATGGCAGTATAGAATGGGGCTACCTACACACGGACTTCCTGCATTTTTATCAAATTACCAGCGCAAAGTTTGGTTAATCGGTTCTCTTTTTTTTTTCAAATTTCCTTGCAATTTAGGTGCCTCTGGGTTCTAATTTGCTTCGTGTAGCCATTTTTTTCTCGGAAAATCTATTGTTTCAATATAAATTGTAATCAAATCTCCATTAAATGCTCCTTTTAAATTACCTCAGGAAAAAAGAGTACCTTACTGTTATAACCAAGGATGAAACCGACTGTTATACTTTACCCAGCTTATTAATAGAAATAAAGTGTCTGCCTTTAATTAATTTTGTTGCTCACGGTGAGATCAGTCAATCCAAAACTTGTCATTGTAATGAGGACACGGGAAGCTGACAATTGATATAAGTTGCTGTATAATAAAAGGAATTTTTTTAGAAAACTTGTAACTCTGTGTTTTAATCGGAGAATACACCTACTAGCTGTTCATATTCCGCTGATATCGCATCATTTTCTTTTCAAGCTCTTCATCGTAGACCTTGAGCCAAGTGTATCTCGCATCCTT